CAGCACCCCCAGGGTAATCTAAAATTCCAAGAGAATTTGGAGCTGACAGTTTTCTGACAATCTTTAAAGCAGAATGTCTACTGGCTTACTTGCAGAAAAGCTCCAAGAAAGTGCAACTTGTACAAATTAAACCCGAGGGTTCTGCAACAATGTTCTGGCCTTGGAATTCCAGTGAATAGAACATTTTGCAGTTCACACTGGAGGTCATGGGAGAATCCCGAGGAAATATTGGGAACTGGAATTGTAGTCCTCCAAGCTGCTTGCCCCCAAAACCTCTGCATCACTGATTTATAAAGTGTCAGTTCAGTGGGAAAAGAACAGTATTAAGAAGAACTAAGTTCTGTGTGTTTAACTAGGCTTAAAAGAGTTCTATGGAAAAAATACTTCCCCAAACAGTCCTATTAGCCATGGAAATAGCCAACTTTAGATTTATCTTATCACCTTCATGTCAGATCTGAGAAATATCATTGAAAGGTGAAGTGTTCACTTGCTTTGCTCTGAAATGAATCCATTGCCTGATATTTCTTACTCTCTTCTGCATCTCCAGCCTGGAATTATCAAGTCCGCCCAGTTTCAGTTTTTGCTACAGTCTTTGTAGACAAATGCGGTATCATAAAATTAAATAAGCTTTTTCTCTTTACATATTCTTAGACTAACACTCATTATAAGTAGAAATGGAGGCCAAGTTATTCCATTGACAAAAAGTATAAAGTGAAACACACACACAATACAAAATTAATCGGCCCTTAAGATAATCTAAAGCTTGTCGCACGGGAAGGAAATGCCTAGATAGTATGCTCTCAAATAGCTGTGTAAGAAAGCATGTACATTTGGTCTATTTCTCCTATCAATTTAAACAATATTAGTCTGGTTTAGCCTAAAGACCAAAGAGAACAGAGCTGGCGTGTATTCAGTGGATGTCTCTGAAGAATTCATTGGCATGTCCAGCACAGACTGCCTGAGACTTTTTTTGAGTTAGTTATGAAATTATTAGGCTCTGGTCTAGATATTTTTTTGTTGGATTATGAATTCTATTTTATGCCTTTATTAAGCACAAGAGAACCTCAACTGTGTAATGCATAACAAATGATTTTACATTTGTAAATATATCTGGCCCTCCTAGGGTAACAAATAATCCCCAACAGCAGTGGCTCACAGTCACAGATCTTATTTCTTTCATGTTCGCTTCATGGTGATTACAATTCACTTTTGCATGTCTTCATTTTAGGACCCAGGCGGAAGGAGCAGCTCCTTGTAGGAAAAGAGAAATGGTAGGACTCATTGGTTCTTAGAACTTCTGCTCAGGAGTAGCACACAGAAGCCCCGTTTACATTTCATCGGTCTAAGCAAGTCACACAGACAAGTCTGCCGTTAGAGCGTGTGGGGATATAATCCTCTCACAGGAAGAAACAGCAAGTAACTGGGAAAGGAATACAGTCGAAGAGTTTATGTGTGTTAGGATATAATTCGAAAGTGTAAGGAAGGAAAGAACTGTTCTAGAATTCTAATAGGAGATAATTCAGGTCCCCAGTTTCAGGATAACAATGGCTGTTTTTGTTTTTGTTTTTCTGAGTAGGTCTCTTTGATGTAATCGTAAAAATGAACATAAGATTTCCCCCAATGATAAAAATAATATATTCTCATAAAAAACTTAGACCATATAGGAAGGCATAAATAAAAAGTAAAATTCATTAAAAAAAAAAGTAAAAATCAATATATAGTCTATTTTAGAAAATATTCTACATCAGCTGGAGAAGAATGTATATTTCTCTGTTATTGGACATAGTAGTCTATACATGTCAATTATATCTAGTTGATTGATGGTGTTGCTTAGTTCATCTATATCCTTAATAATTTTCTGCTTGCTGAATGTTTCAGTTATTGGTGGAGAAATGTTAAAGTCTCCAACTATAGTGGTAGATTTGTTTGTTTCTCCTTGTGGTTCTTTCAGTTTTTATTTATGTATTTTGATGCTCTGTTGTTAGGCTCAAACACGTTTAAAATCGTTAACTTGTCTTGGAGATTAACCCTTTATTGTTATGGAATGCCTGTGTTTTTAAGATGTATCTTAATTGTTGAAAGCATTCTAGATGCCCCCTCCTTTTTCCCCATGGACTCCCTCCACTCTGCTTCTGTCCCACCCCAGACCTTCACTGCACTGCTGTCTGTGTCCATGCGCTATGAATATATGCATGTAAATTCTTTGGTTAATTTCTTCTTGCCCCACCCTTCCCTCTGAGATTTGTCAGTCTGTTCCATGTTTCCATGTCTCTGGATCTATTTTGTTCATCAGTTTGTTCATTAGATTCCACATATAAGTGAGATCATGTGATACTTGTCTTTGTCTGACTGGCTTATTTTGCTTACCATAATACTCTCCAGGTCCCTCCATGCTGTTTCAAAGGGTAACAGATCCTTCTTTTTTTTTTATAGCTACATAGTATTCCACTGTATATTTTTTATCGACTCATCTGCTGATGGGCACTTGGGCTGTTTCTGGATCTTAGCTATTGTAAATAGTGATACTATGAACATAGGGGTGCATATATTCTTTCTGATTGTGGAATGCTCATTCAGTCTCTCATAATATTCCTTGCTTTGAAATCTGCTCTGTCTAAAATTAAGGTAGCTACTGCACTTTTCTTTAAATTAGCATTGCATGGTATATCTTCATTCATTATCTTTCAATCTATCTATGCCTTTATAATTTAATTTGGATTTCTTATAGACAACATATAGTTGGGTCTTATTTCTTTTATTCACTCTGTAGTCTCTGCTGAACCAAGGAGAAGGTGGGCAAAGGCAAGTAAAAAGACTTCAAAGCTTTTCTACAATTTTTAGGTTACCTTTTTCTTGCTTTAGAGTTCACTTGGTTGCTGTAAGTCTTTCACTACTTTTCAGAGTGTTGACTAAGAAGATAGTTTTGCTTGCTTTTTTGAAGTTTCTATAGGATAGACCACTGGATCTATCTCCTCTACTATTTTTATTGACATCTGTCAGATGTTTATATATTTCATTTGGCTTTTCAATGTCTCTACTTTTAAAAAATCAATTCTTGCCCAGCTGGTGTGGCTCAGTGGTTGAGCGTTGACCCATGTACCAAGAAGTCATTGGTTCAATTCTCAGTGAGTGCACATGCCCAGGTTTGGGGCTGATCCTCAGTGGGGGCATGCAGGAGGTAATCAGTTGATGTTCTCTCTCATCAGTGTTTCTATCTCTTTCTCCATCTCCCTTCCTCTCTAAAAAATCAATAAAGAAAAAAATTAAAAAACATAAAACAATTCTTAAGTTTTTGTCTAATTAGTTAATTTCTGATTTGTGTTTAATCAATTAATCCTTTTTAACATTTGTTTTATTATCTTTCTATAAGTTAGACCTAAATGTTAATTAATTAATTTTTTCCTTTAAAAATAAAGTTATCTAATGCTATGAATTTTATCTGTGCATAAAATTAGATGTATCTTAGGTTTCAAGCATAGTAGTCTTATTATTGTTTTTTCTAAACAGTCTGTAATTATAGTTTTTAGTCTCCATTTTATCTAGGAATTATATTTTACACTGTTATCCTAAATTTTCTAAGAGATTTGTTTTATTATCTGGACTTTTCCTTGTTTATTTCTACTTTTCTTTTTTTCATTGTATCTGACTAGCTATATCTACTTTAAATATCTCAATGCCATACATATAAAGGTTCATGCGTTCCTAATTTTTACTGTGAATTACAATATTGATCAACATAAATTGCCATTTTTTAATCTCAGTGTTTTTGTTTTAATTTTTCATTTGTCTGAGATTAATATTGCTAGTCCCCTTTTAGTTTTGATAGTTCTCCTTTGCCTGATATATCTCATCTCTTCATTTTCAAAAGTTATGCTTTTTAGTTAAGAGATGAATCTAGAAAACATATAAGTTAGTTGAACATTTTTTTTATCTGATAATGTTTGTCTTTTAATTGAAAAAGTGAACTTATCCAATTTTTTGGTTTTAACTAATATTTAATCATATTCCTATCATTATGTTTTGTTTTTTGTGTGACCTGATAAATGTGCTGTTATTTCTTTTGTTTCATTTGTTATATTTTGCTTTATATCATTTTAGTGCTTTTTTTCTGCTGATATTTTGGATCTTATTCATATTATTTTGTCTAATATATTTTAAAAATTGTGCCTTTATTTTTGTGCCAACTTCAAGAATGAAATTTGTTTTTGGGGTCTTCCATCTGTCCCCAAATGAGACAATTATGTAAGCACGTGTTCATATTGTGTTCAGTCTGTATTGCTGGTTACAAATATTCTCATTTTTACATTATGAATACTATTTCCCAAAAACCTAGCCTTAATATTTACATCAAGCTTCACAAACATATTAACCATAACAATTTTTAAAATAAATAGTTTAATAAAAAGTTTGGGTTCATTTCTTTTTAAATTAGCTTTTTTTTTTTTTTTTAAATGTGAGGTTAACACAATCTCCTGTACCCCTGGGAATGTAGATGTGCGCCTTGATAAATCTCTAGTATTTGAAAAATATTTATTATTATTATTTAAAAAACTTTTTTCTTTATTAATTTTAGAGAGATAGGAAGTGAGAGGGAGAGAGAGATAGAGACATCCATGAGAGAGAACATCGATTGGCCGCCTCCTGCATGCCCTCCACTGGGGATCTGGCCTATAACCTGGGCATGTGCCCTGACCAGGAATCGAACCGACAACCTCTTGGTGCATGGGTCGACGCTCATCCACTGAGCCACACTGGCCAAGCTGAACAATATTTAAATGTGAATGCCTGTAGTCTGGCATGCTCCCTGGTTTACCACAATCTCCACTGCTCCATCCTGTCTACTTGATCTGCCTGCATCGCCGTTTCAGTTTTTAAATTCTCTTCTAGACCTTTCTAGACCACATACAGTTTCAAATATCCAAGGGTTTAAAATGAGATCCTGTATTTCTTACACGGAGTGGCACTCTGCCTTACATCTTTTCTTCCTTTCTTGGACTTAGGCTCTGGAAGATCGGGTGTGGGAGCTCTTGCAGGAAGCAGACAAGACAGCCGAGGAGAATAAGGAACAGAGTCGGGTGTATGACGCCATGGCCAGTACCCTGGGCGAGGCATGGGCAGCCCTGGTCTCCATGCTGGAAAGAAGAAGGGAGCTGCTCAGTTTGACCTCTGAATTTTTTGAAAGTGCCTTGGAGGTTTGTATTTAAAAAAACACATCTCCCTTTTCTATATTAGAAATGAATAGCATTCCTGAAAATGTTATATTTCTGCAGACATTGCAATTGGTTCAAAAAAGTGTCAGAATAACCAAGATTGTATGTATGTGTGTGTATTTGCACACACGTGTGAATGTGTGTGTGTATACATATATATACACACATATATATATATATAATTTAATTCTTGATTGTGGAAACATAAAGTTTTAATATTTTATTTTTTTTATTTTTTTATCCTCACCCGAGGATATTTTTCCATTTTTTGTACAGATAGAGTGGGAGGGAGAGAGAGGAATCGAGAGAGAGAGAGAGAAACATCGACGTGAAAGGGACACATCGAGTGGCTGCCACCCGCACAACCAACCAGGGCCGGGGACAAACTGCAACCGAAGCACGTGCCCCTAGCGGGAACCGAACCCGGGTCTCTCCGGATCGCAGGCCAACGCTCTAACTGCTGAGCCAAACTGGCCAGGGCAAGTTTTAATATTTTACATGTAGGCCTTCAATCAAAAGCTAGGTACAGTTCACTAAAATAAAGTAAAATATTAAGTAAAAATGGGAACTCTCATAAGTCATTATATTTTCCTCTGTAGAAAACAGTAATATAATTACTTAATAAAACAATTGCCCCGATTATAATATTACTAGGAAATGGTGGTGGAGAGTGTTTTAATTACTAACAGTTGTGGACTAAAAGTTCTGCTGATTATTCAAAAGGAATTGCAGAATATGCCATAGAATGTCTGAGTTGTAAGCATAGAATTTTATAAAGTACTTTCCTAAGGCATACTGTGGAGTTTTTATAGTTTGAACTCATTAAAATGTAAGGCAAGAAAAAAGTCCTGGGTCTAAGAAGGTCATTTTCCCCTATGATTTTTCTTAAATTCTACAATTTTTTTGAGATTCCCAATTTCAAAATGTGAGACTCAGAGAACAACATCAAAAGAGATGTTATGGTTGGTATAAGACAGTTATGGAAATTTCACTTTTAACTACTCTGTCAGTTGGCAGTCCATTCATTTTGATATGAGAGCTCTGCTTCATTAAGATAAAGCACAGGCTTTGAAAAGTATGACATTTCCAAACTGAAAATTCAGGACTTAAATTCAAAATAATGAAGGAAAGAAGATTAGTAATAGAACATAAAAATTGGGGTAGATGCTCTCATGCATCACAGACTGGGTTAAAAGTAAAAGGGAAGAGCAAAAACCGCATTGTAACTTTCAAGGTTTGTTTTCCACAGTTTGAACACTGAAGGCCACCTCACAGTTCATTTTACAGACCATCTTGGGAAAAAGTTCTACGCACAGTTTTCTCCCCTGAAACAAAATAACCAAGTGAAATACACCCACAGAGGCCAAATTATAGATACATCTGATTTATTCCATCTAAATAAGTAGGGTATGGGTGTCAACTGCCCTGGAAATTCAGCTCACTTGAGCACAGGAAATTATTTTTATTTCAAACATTAGGTTCAAGATTTGTTTCTCATTGTGTAGTAATGCTACCAAATTTTCTCAATGATGAGAAGTTACTTCTAGCCCTGGACTTCTAGTTTGGCTTAGCGGTTAGAGCGTCGGCCTATGAACCAAAGAGTCCCGGGTTTGGTTCCTGCGAAGGGCACGTACCTTGGTTGCAGTTTGTCCCTGGCCTCGGTTGGGGTCGTGTGAGTGGCAACCAGTTGATGTGTCTCTCTCACATTGATGTTTCTCTCTCTCTTCTTCCCTCTCTCCCTCCCACTCTATCTGAAGATAAATGCAAAAAGTGTCCTCGGGTGAGGATAAAAAAAAAAAAAAAAAGAAGTTACTTCTAGGTACTACATAAAATAAAAAGAAGTATAAGTCAACCTATAATTCAACCCAAAATTCTGACTCCTAGTTAAATGACTAATTGTTTCTTATATTATCCTGCTTCCAATTTTGTGGATCACTTTATACTTAGCTTAAGGCAAACTGCTACATGATCTTCCTGCCTCTTGTGTACGCCAGAGCAATTTTCATTAGTGATTTAAAAAAAAGAGTGAGCCCTGGCCAGTTTGGCTCAGCAGTTAGAGCGTCAGCCTGTGGTCCGGAGAGATCCGGGTTCGGTTCCCGCTAAGGGCATGTACTTCGGTTGCAGTTTGTCCCCGGCCCTGGTTGGTCGTGCGGGTGGCAGCCACTCGATGTGTCCCTTCACATCGATGTTTCTCTCTCTCTCTCCCTTCCTCTATCTCCCTCCCACTCTGTCTGTACAAAAAATGGAGAAATATCCTCGGGTGAGGATAAAAAAAAAAAAAAAAAAAGAGTGATATTAAGAACAGGGTTTTTGAAAAATGTCTCCCTGTCACCATTTCTACCCCATGCAAGCTACAGAAAGGAGAGAAGTGAGGGAAAGAAAATAGCCATAAGATAAAACGTAACAGTATTTCAGGGAAGCTTTTTCTGAGTAAAATTGTTTATTTAAAAAATTAAAAAAATTTTTTTTTTCTTTATTGATTTGAGAGGGAGAAGAAGGGAGAGGGAGAGAGAGATAGAAACATTGATGAGAGAGAACATCGACTGGCCGCCTCCTGCATGCCCTCATTGGGGATCGGGCCCACAACCTGGGCGTGTGCCCTGACTGGGAATCGAACCGGTGACCACTTGGTACATGGGTCAACGTTCAACCACTGAGCCACACCAGCCGGGCATTAAATTTTTTTAAAATAACAGGCTGAAATATACAATTCACCTACAGATATTTTTCTTTTGCTTTGAAGGTTCTGTTCAAAGAATGCTTTTAAATCAGTTATTAAAAGTGGAATGAATTAGAGATGTAAATGATGTGTAGGTAGGAGTCCCTTATTAAACTATGTGCATTCAAGAGTTCTTTAGAGTCTGGCCAGTGTAGCTCAGTGGTTGAGCATGGACCCATGCACCAAGAGGTTGCTGGTTCGATTCCTGGTCAGGGCACACGCCCAGGTTGTGGGCCTGATCCCAGTGGGGGGCATGCAGGAGGCAGCCAGTTGATGTTCTCTCTCATGGATGTCTCTATCTCTATCTCCCTCTCACTTCCTCTTTCTCTAAAATAAATAAAGGAAAAAAATTTAAGAAAAAAGAGTTCTTTAGAAATACAAGTAATTTCTTTTTGCATGATTGATAATTATCAAAGGACAGTTTCTAGCTCATAGACTTAACCATCAGAAGGGTTTTTCTCTTCAATGGAGAACCATCGTCCCTAAAGGGCAATGGCAGGTATCCGTTCAGTGGTTCTAACAGGATGGTGGAGGCCTTCTCTGAATTTCCAAAGGAGACATGCTCCTTAGTCTATTGTCACTATCATAATACAGATCTTGTTAATCAAATAGCAATATAAAAATATGAACAAATCACTAAATTTAAAATGGTAGCTTGGAAACATCTTGAGAAGGAAGACAACCTCTGTGACAGGCTTTTGTTTATTTCACTGATGCTTTGCCTTTATGAGTTTATTCTCTACTTGATCCAAAGGTGAACATGTTGATTGAAATGCTCTTATAAACTAAAATAATTTCCTTTGCATCATAATGTTAAAACAAACCAGCTATTTGTCTGCCATTATGAATATGCTGTATTAGCACACCCTTTTCTAAAACTTGTTTCTAAGGTTAGTCCTCTGAGAATTTTAACATTCCTTGAAGAATCTTCGCTTTATACGTCCTCCATGTAGAAACACACGGAGATCAGTCACATTCCCCACCATTTAGGGTGTCGAATTGCTGTTCTGCTTTTGAAACAGAGGAGAAAAATTTCATGCTTGCTGCATCAAATCTCTTTTTTATTTATATAAATAATGCAAACATTTTTTATAAAAAATAAACAAAATTACAAATTACAGATTTAAAAACTAAACTTTTACCTTCCTTAACCCATACTTAATGCCATTCCTTCTCATAAATGTAACCCTTTGGTGTGTATCTTCTCAGACCATTTTATGTACAAATATATTTTTTACAAATTATATGCTTTGTGTAAGACATGGATTAGACATTGCTTCTTGGACATTTGGCTGAGATCAAGTTTAGATATAGGATTAGACTATTATTTTGAAACTTGCATTTTTTCAGCTCTAGGTATAATTATAGAGGGAAAAAAACCTCTGTATTTCAACTATCCCTCTAAATTGCTTCTTAAGGAGAATTTACTTATAATTATGTCATCACTGGTGAGCCAAATTTCTGTTGGTTTCTCCCAGCACACTTCCTGGTAATTCTTTGACAAACTGCCTTATAATGTTAAAAGTGGCTATATTCTTTACATAGGACACAAAATTTTAGATGAAAATTTTAAGACATTTGACCAGTAAAAAGGTTGGTTTGTTTCAGAATACATGATGTATTTTCGGGTGTACAAGGAATGCAAAAGAATGAGAGAAAAGTTCTTCCTTGGTACGGTGAACACTCACCTTCACACAAACACCCAAGCCAGCCCACACTCACACAAACACACACATCCCCACACGAACACACAGACGAGTCAGCTAGGCCATCGGTTCATAGGAAATGTCTCTATATAACTAGAAGTGACACGTTGATTTTTGTTTTTTCAAGTGTCTTTCCCCCGTATTTCTGTTGTAGTTTGCTATTAAAATAGATCAAGCTGAAGAGTTCCTCCAGAACACTCAGGAGTTCGAGACCGCCGAGTCCTTGAAATCACTTCTTCAGCTTCACGAGCATCATACCAAAGGCAAGAAATATGATTATTCCTCACATACGCTTTTTAAGAGTTTAAAAGGTGTTAATGAGAGAATGCTTGTGTAGGACAGTGTATTTCTAATTTATCTGTTTATGTAGACTTCAACTCGCTCCAAGAAAAGTCTAAGGAAGCTCTTTCCTTGGTCGTCTTCTGCGAGAAAGAAGTCGTTGTAGAGGGCTCTCAGGAGATGGGAGAGAGACAGCCCCTGAAGACCGTGATAACGGGAGCCCTTCAGCCTGCTAGATTTAGTTCCTGAGGACAGGGGCCATTATCCTTGTTCTGTGTATTCTCAGCTTCTGGCAAGGCTCTGGGACCTGGTGCATCCTCAGGAAATATTTCTTGGTCAAATAAATGGTTGACTTCATTGAGTGTTTCTTCCCAGGGACAGTACATGGAGGTCAGCCTTTGAATAACAACTCTGGATAAGGAAAATTCCTCTTTCACTATTGCAGTAAAAAAAAAAAAAGTAGTAAAAATGTTCCAGATTAAAAAATCTAATAAAAAGACTTTCAACTCCCTCTGACCAACTATAGCCTAATTGTTAACCGACAATTTGTATGCTAGTTTTTTTCGACCAGAATTTGGGGTGGGCAGAATTATAATAGGGAAGCCTTTGGTGAAAGAGTGCCTGTTTACTATTATCTTATCTGTGGAGGCAGGTTATATGGGAACGACACTTGTTTGCTTTGCGATGCATTCTTCTAATTATTACTGCCAAATTGAACTGGGTATGAGTGGATGGCTCCCCGAACTCATTTGTCACAGTTCCAGCTCAGCTTTTAGCTTGACCAGCTTGGATGCTGGACAGGGGCAAAGGGTGTTTGCAAAGCCACAGAGAGATTTTGTGTTTCTATCACCCTCTAAAGGGACTTTAGATAATAGACCATTACTTTTCTAAAACTCAAAGATGAAAGGACTCGGTCTCTCCCGTTTAAATTTTTATGAGATGCTCCCACATGTAGACATGTAATTTTGACTGATTGTTGTTCTTTAGGACCTATTACGAATAGGGGTTATAGACAACATCAAAAATAAGAGCCTTAAAGCAGTGGCCTGCTCATTTTGTACAGCAGCAGCCATCTAGCTGGGTCCAAAGAGGGTAGACACAATCCCAAAGAAATCCCTCTTAGGAGACTAGAGAGTGAATCTGAGCCCAGGTCACTGAGATGGGTCTGTGGTCTCAATTCAGTCTTCATCCAACCAGCATGATTATCACATGGCAATTTTACCTCCAGAAACCTGACAGTGAATGATGCTTTTATTGACAAGGTTCAGTACTGAGGCCGTCAAATGCAAGCGTTTCCCAAGGGGGTGTTATGGAAGTAGGGACTTTTCCATGAATGTTGGGGTTGGAGCTGGAAGGGGAAAATGGCCTTAACGCTGCTTTGTTGTTATCGTTGGCTCCTTCAGAGTGCTAGGATCTGGGGCACAGGGAGCTGTGTGGGGGCCGTGGACTGCAGTGCCCAGCATGCAGCTGACGGCCGGACCATCCTGCCTCTCACTGTACGTCTGCAGGTGTTCACCGCCTCCTCTTAATCTGAAGAGACGGCTGAAAATGCTAGCTGAAGACAAAATAGTGATGACAAAATAGTCTTCCATCCCGATGGCATGTTTACCGCGACAGTTGTGTGTTCCTTTATGTGATACTAGAAGCACAGGGGCTACAGGGGAGTCTGGTCAGGCTCCCAGTTCATATGCCCAGTGGTGGCTTCAAGGGCTTTGTTTTCGTAACATGAGAGTAGATGGAATTTGTTAAACAGCTAATTCAGTAGGATATGATTAAGATTACCTGATTTAAAATGCATTTTCAAGGACAAAATTCTGATTTTCAGTTACGGACTTCATATCTGACTTTCTCCGTTCAGACTGTTATAACAAAATACCAAAGGTAGGACGGCTTATAAACCACAGGTATTTGTTTCTCACAGTTCTGGAGGCTGGACATCTGAGATTAGGGTGCCAGCATGGTCAGGTGGGGTCTCCTTCTGGGTTGTACATTTTTCATTGTACCCTCACCTGGAGGAAGGGGATAGGAAGCTCTATGAGGTCTTTTTTTTTTTTTTTTTAAATCTTTATTGTTGCATGTAAAATGTATTACAAATGTTCCACATTTTTCCCCCATTGACCCCCTCCTCACCATTCCCGCCCCCATCCCACCTTTTCCCACACTGTTGTCTGTGTCCATTGGTTATGTATATAAGTTCTTTGATTTATTTCTTCCCACCCCCCAAACCCTTTTCCTTTGAGGTTTGTCAGTCTAGCAATGAATTTGTACTTCTTAATCCCTTCACCTTTTTCACCCATTCCCCCAACCCCCCTCCCAACTGGCAACCAACAAAATGTTCTCTGTATCTATGAGAATGTTTCTGTTCTACCTGTTCATTTTGTTTGTAGATTCCATTGTTGATAGATATGTATTCATTGCCATTTTGTTTGTTCATACATTTTATCTTTTTCTTCAAAAAGACCCTCCATCATTTCATATAATAACGGTTTGGTAATGATGAACTTCTTTAACTTTTTCTTGTCTGGGAAAGTTTTTATATGTCCATCAATTCTAAATGACAGCTTTGCAGGATAGAGTAATCTTGGTTTTAGGTTCTTGCTTTTCATCACTCTGAATATTTCTTGCCACTCCCTTCTGGCCTGCAAAGTTTCTTTTGAGAAATCAGCTGACAGCCTTATCGGAACTCCCTTGTAGGTAACTAGCTGCCTTTCTCTTGCTGCTTTTAAGATTCTCTCTTTGTCTTGAACCTTTTGCATTTTGATGATGATGTGTCTTGGTGTGGGCCTCTTGGGGTTCATCTTGTTTGGGACTCTCTGTGCTTCCTGGACTTGTATGTCTGTTTCCTTCACCAAGTTAGGAAAGTTTTCTGCCATTATTGTATCAAACAGGCTTTTGATTTCTTGTTCTCTCTCTTTTCCTTCTGGCACCCCCAAGATGCGAATGTTGGCACGCTTGAAGTTGTCCCAGAGGCTCCTTACACTATCCTCATTTTTTTTTGGATTCTTTATTCTTTTTGCTGTTCTGATTGGGCAGTTTTTGCTTCCTTATATTCCAAATCGATGGTTTGCTCCTTGGATTTACATACTCTATTATTGAAGCTGTGTAAATTATTCTTTATTTCAGTTAATGCCTCCTTCAATTCTAACTGTGTATCCATGATTTCTGAACTGGTCCTTTTTTATGCTCTGGAGGCCCTCCCTAAGTTCACTGAGGTTCTCACTAAGTTCATTGAGCATCCTTATAAGCAGTATTTTGAACTCAGTACCTGTTAGGTTGCTTATCTCCATTTCGCTTAGTTCTTTTCTTGGGGTTTTGTTCTGTTCTTTCATTTGGGACCTGTTTCTTTGTCTCCTCATTTTGGCTGCCTCCCTGTGTTTGTTTCTCTGTATTACTTAACAAGTGGTATGGGGCTAGCTGAGACCAGATGCTGCTCATTTGAAAGAATTTAGGAAAAACCTGAATCAGGATCCAAGACAGGCCAATCCTATGGTTAAGCAACTGGCAACAGCTTGTGAGGGCCTGAAAGTTGGGTGGGGCGGGGCCTCAGGGAGTCAGCAGGGCGGGGCTACCAGTGTGAGCCAGGTTGCTGGAGTCCCAGATATGGCTTCTGTCTGCCGCCCCCGGGAAGGGCTCACCAAAGGAACAAAGGCCTCTGACAGCACGTTTGTCCCGGAGAAAGCCCCCTCTCCAGTCCTCGCTCCAGTGCCAAACAGCTCAGTTCTTCCCTGAATGTCTCTGGCGCCCCTCGAGCTGCCTCCCCTCCGAGCTTAGAGGGAGAGAGTCCGATAAGTCCGTGCGCGGGCCCTTTAAGGAGCTGCCTGGGGCTCCAGCCGCCTCAGCCTCCCTGAGCCTCAGTTCCCGCTGGTTTTTCCAGCCAGAAGTTATGGGGATTCTCTTCCTGGCACTGGAACCCTGAGCAGGGCACCTGGTGTGGGACGGGGACCCCTCCAGTCCTCAGGAAGGACCTTCCCAGCTGCGGGAGCCTCCTGATTTTTATCCGCCACACGTGGGTGTGGGACCAGCCCGTCCACCGCCGCCCCTCCTACCAGTCTGGATGTGGCTGCTGCTTTAATTCCGTAGTTGTAGGACTTCATTCAGCTCTATGTCAGGTGGTTTTGAATGATGGTTGTTCTGTAGTTTAGTTGTAACTTTGATGTGGTTGTGGGAGGATGCAATACCGCGTTTACCTATGCTGCCATCTTGACCTGACCCTATGAGGTCTTTTAATAAGAGAATTAATTCTATTCCTGAAGGCTGCACCCTCATGACCTAGGCACCTACCTTCTAATATCATCATATTGGGCATTAGGATTTCAACATATGAATTTTAGGGGGGCACAAATATTCAGACCATAGCAATATTTATTATTTTTAAATGTAAGGAACTAAAATACATCTATAATTTATTTATTTCAAAACTGGAAGTTTAGCCCTGGCCGGTTTGGCTCAGCGGTTAGAGCGTCGGCCTGCGGTCCGGAGAGACCCGGGTTCGGTTCCCGCTAAGGGTACGTACTTCGGTTGCAGTTTGTCCCCGGCCCTGGTTGGTTGTGCGGGTGGCAGCCACTCGATGTGTCCCTTCACGTCGATGTTTCTCACTCTCTCTCCCTTCCTCTCTCTCCCTCCCACTCTATCTGTACAAAAAAAAAAACAAAAAAAAAACTGGAAGTTTATACCTCTTAATCTCCTTTACCTATTTCTCTTACCCTAGCCCCTCCTCCTTTTAGCAAATGGCAAGATTTCATTATTTTTTATGGCTGAGTAATATTCCATTGTATATATACACAGCACATTGTCTTTTTTTTAAATTATTAATTAATTTATTTTTGTTACAGATGTTTCTCCTTTTTACCCCATTGACACCCTCCTCCCGATCCACTTCCCCACCCTCCACCCACGGCACTGTGTCTGTGTCCATTGGTTATGCATATATGCATATAAGTTCTTTGGTTCATCTCTTCCCTCCTCCTCACCCCCCTCCTCTCAA